TTATTACACAACATATGAGGTGCCGGGGCCATTACCGCAGTTATGGGTTCATTGGGATAGGGTCAAGTCTAATTGTTTTTCCATTTTCGCAGTTATGGGTTTGGTTTCCAGTATGTTTGGTGTCTGTTTTTTAGCTGTCTGTTTTTTTGCTATCTATTTCTATTTCTGTTTTGTCTATTGTAGGCCGAGGGTCCATTTTTCTGTGTGGACCATGGACTAGGTACCGCCTACGGTACGGGACTGGTACTCGGCGGATCTTTCTGAGCTTAGGTAGCGATAGAAGGTACCGGAACAGCGGTAAGTCTAGGGGATATAAGCGAACACTGTGTTCTCTTCTGTCTTTTTTCGGGTCTCACGTTGACGAAGCCTACCTACATGGTTAGTGCGACGTCGACGGCGGTGGGTGAGCAGAACGACGAAATAGTCAAGGGAAGAAGAAGGGTGTCCCCCTGAAGAAGACCGCGTGGCGGCGGTCGAAACCGGTCGGGGTGCCATACCCGCCGGAGACACAGTTGGTACATTTGTTGTACTTGAGTTTGCAATATACATGTGTGTGTACTTGGTGTGCATACTTGTGGTTTTTGCATCACTCTCAATACTTTGACACCATTACCCGGCTTCGGCTAAGAATCTTTTTTGATGAAGAACTAAAAATTAGTAAAAAATTGAATACTATGCTATATCAGCCACTCCGGTTTCCTAAATATAGAGCAACTTCTAGCCCTCCCTATGCCGGGACATTACTACTCAAAGACAGTACTGACCAGACCAACATCATCCATAGCTGACCTTTTCTCGCCACCAAGACTATCCCCGGCCCCATAGGGTGTCAAGGCGGTCCCCCACAATTTGCCACTGGCTTACCTTCCTCCCTCGGCAAACCCCAGATCTCTCTACAAGGCCTCACACTCCTGCCGTTGCAGGTTACAGGGTAACACCCCAGCTCCGGCCAGCGTCGTTCTGGCATCGGCAAAGTGAGGGCACAGAACAGAGCAACGCTGCCGATGTCAGTCCAGGTGCAACCATCTCTGAAATCGAATATCCTAATGAAGAAGAAGACCAGACGCTGCTCTA